CAGATAAGATAAGGGTTTATCCTTATCACCTGAAGAGAAGCCTGATCCAAATATGATTTGGATAAGCAGCTCCTAATGGGATCAGGAGCTGATCCTTTAGGTTAAAAAAAGAAGGAGGGGGCGGCAGCCTTTAGATGAATGAGACAATCAGATTTTCTTTAGTGCTGAAATCACAAGAAGAGAGAATTCTACACCTTGCAAATACTCTCTTGTCGCCTCCCTGTTCCTGCCGCCCTATTTGCCAGTTCGATCTCTAGTTGTGGGAGAAGTCGAGATTCGATCTTGACATCAATTCTTTGAGAAAGAATTGATAGGAAGCAGTGCTCACGTGCCATCCTGCTGATTCTGCTCCATCCTGCACTGCGCCATATTCAGTGGGAGCAGTCTTTGGATCCTTCCTTGGGCATGAACACTTTCGTTGGGAGATACTATTTCTCCGTATCAGGTATAATCCTCTCCTACTCCTTTTGATTCAGATCTGGTTCAGTTCATGGTTCAAGAATGATCCTTGAAAATATGATTTTCTAAAATAGGGAATACGATTCCCAGTTGAAGGGAGAGAAAAATTTTTGAAATTCGCCCACTTATTCTGCAATCTTTGGGCGTCCATACGATGGATCTCTCATTCCTTCAGGGGCTTAATAATGTCTCTGGTCCGGTTGACTGTAGCTCCATTAAAACAGGGACTACGTGGACGAATTTTACTCAATTTGAGTGCTCCGTTGAGGTCATACTGCCTACCCAGAGGCCAGAGGCAGAGGGGGCTCACCAGTCACCATTAAGACTAAGAAGGGGCAAAATCTCCTAATTGCCTCCAAGGGCTATGAAAAAGACAAGATTACCCTCCAAAGGTCTCCACTTGGCACACGCTTTACCAAATAGCATGAATGATGAATGATGAATGATTCTAGCAATATCATCACCATTTACTTGTTTTAAGTGGAAGAGCCTCGGTAGCTTGGACCAAACAGAATCAACCAACTCTTTCACTCCTACGGTTCAATGGGTTAACTGGTTGACTAGGCACGATCCAACAGTCATGAAACTGCTGTTGCGTATCAGAGAGAGTGTCATTGTCTTCTCCCTCCTACTGAAACCTCTGGATGTCAACGTGTCGTCTCATCAATGATCTTCTCCATCTTTGTTTAATTTCTTTCACGGCAAAAACAAAACAAAGTCTCTCACTACTCCACCTGGTAAATGGAATTACAGTGTTCTTTACAACAGTCTAAGATTTCGTGAATGGGGGGGGGGGGGTTCCAATTCCATACCAGTGGAGCTTTCACAATTTGTCAGACCAGCGAGTGAAGTGTTGGCAAACACGCAAATACACCAAACTATTTATTTTTTTCAAAGGAAAAAGTAAACTAAATATATGATGGTGATGTCTGGTGCTCGTGCTCGTGGCCAGCAGCTTCATCCGGCCGGCATTTATAAATAGTTATTAATTAATTTACTCTTGATGGGTAATCAGTCCTAATCCTATCCTATGCCGTCCCCCAGCGCCACTACGTTAATTCGTAAGTGCCCGTTAGGCCATGTTAGAAATTGACTTTTTTTTTTCTCTAAAGCGGCTCAATCAACCAATTTTAAAGCCCTCCCAAACGGGCCCTAAATCATTCTCTTTGCAAACACCGGCCACGGCCCACGGGTACTCCAGCGGTGGCCCAGGCCCACAAAGCCCAGATGAAGTGCCGTGTTATGATATAAATGTTTTTTGATTGCTGACTGGTGAGTGAGTGAGGTGTAGTTCCCGAATTGGTTCCTAACCGGCTAACCGTAACAAATATCATAATTCCAGTGGCGACTCGCTCCGACCGAGTCAATATCTACTTCACATGAATAGCATTTAATCAAGGTGAAGTCTAAAAGCCAAATCGTCATTATCTAAATGTGATGATGATTACTTAAATGACCACATTTGCTCTCTGTATTTTGTGTTTCTGGTGCAATACAGATCTTAATTTTTTTTCTCCTTTCTTCTTTAATCGACATCCTTCCTCTCAAGATGGAGAAGAAAAAACAACTTTTCTTCGCCGTTCTTCTTTCTCTTCTCCAATTTTCATCTTTTCCTCTTGTCTCACCGGACTTCACTCCTCTGGATAATTATCTACTCGACTGCGGATCGAACACAAACACTGCAGTCGATACCCGACAATTCGTCGGAGATTCAACGAGCACCGGGTCAGCCTTTCTCTTTGCAGCTCGCTCGGTTTCGGTCTCAGACGCAAGCCCATCTCAGGGCCCATCACCTCTGTACCAAACGGCAAGAGTTTTTACTGGGTTGTCCAGCTACCAATTCCAAATCCAGAACAGCACCACTCACTTGGTACGTCTCCATTTCTTTCCTTTCTCCTCTCAGAAATACGACCTCAGTGCTGCTCTGTTCAACGTTTATGTGAATGGGTCTCTGCTTCTGAGCAATTTTAGCGTCCCTAACAACAGCAGTAACAACAAAACTGCCGTGTTAAAGGAGTACATATTGATGGTAGATAGTGGGAAGTTCGAAATTGCGTTCCTTCCTGCGAACACACCAAGTTTCGGATTTGTAAACGCCATAGAAGTCTTCTCTGCTCCCCCGGATCTCATTACTGACGCGCAAGTCGAATTGGTTGGTTCGGCGCGAAGGATAAATTTAACGTCTCAGATTTTAGAGACTGTTCACAGGATCAACGTTGGAGGTGAAAAAGTTACACCTTTTAATGACACTCTGTGGAGAACTTGGATTCCTGACGACGATTATCTCGTTTTGAAGTCTGCGGCCAAATCCGTTTCTCGAACTCAACCGCCTAATTACCAGAGCAACGGAGCCAGTCAAGAGATTGCTCCGGATAGTGTCTACATGACTGCCCAAGAGATGAATATACCTAATTCGAGTACATCTATGAAATTCAATATAACATGGTCTTTTCCGGTGAGTCCAGGTGGTGTTAGGTACCTGGTCCGGTTCCATTTCTGCGATATTGTTAGCACCTCGCTTTACTTGCTGTATTTCAACGTATATATCTATGACTACTATGCGCAGCAAGATCTTGACATATCTTCCCATATGGCCCCTTTTCTGGCATCTCCTTATTACATTGACCGTGCCGTCGATTCGGATAGTTCAGGATCCCTGCTCATAAGAGTTGGCCCTTCCAATTTGAGCGCCAACCCAAACGTCAATGCTTTACTGAACGGAGTAGAAATCATTAAGTTTGCGAATGTTGAGGGTTCGATTCCGCCGACTGAGTCAAAGAAGTCGAATGTTGCGGTTGTGGTGGGAGCGGTAGTCGGAGGATTTGCTCTTATATGTCTTCTGATAACTGCAACTTTGCTCAGAATGAAATGCAGGGAGAAGAAGAAAGCACAACTAAAACCGGATGAAACTGGGGTATGGTCACCCTTAGATTTATATGGAGGGAGTTCCTACAGCAAGATATCTGAAGGGACTCTCAGTGGATCCCCTGCTCGGAACTTAAATCTTGGTTTGAAGATTCCTTTCGCTGAAGTAAAGTATGCAACGAAGAGCTTCGACAAGAAATTGGTTGTCGGTACGGGTGGATTTGGTATGGTGTACAAGGGAGTGCTCAGAGACAACACAAGAGTTGCTGTGAAGCGAGGTGTACCGGGGAGGCAGGGCCTTCCAGAATTCCAAACAGAGATAACAGTTCTGTCGAAGATTCGCCACCGGCATCTCGTTTCCCTGATTGGGTATTGCGAAGAGCAGTCGGAGATGATACTGGTATACGAGTATATGGAGAAGGGGCCATTGAGGAACCATTTATATGGTTCAGAGTTTCAACCTTTGTCTTGGAAGCAGAGGCTTGAGATATGCATTGGTTCAGCCAGAGGCCTCCATTACCTTCACACAGGTTCAACTCAGGGAATCATCCACCGCGATGTTAAATCAACCAACATTTTGCTTGATGAAAACTATGTCGCCAAGGTCGCTGACTTCGGCCTTTCAAGGTCTGGCCCCTGTCTGGATGAGACCCATGTTAGCACTGCTGTAAAAGGTAGCTTTGGGTATCTGGACCCAGAGTATTTTAAACGGCAGCAGCTGACTGATAAATCAGACGTCTATTCATTTGGAGTGGTACTTCTTGAAGTACTCTGTGCGAGACCGGCCATTGATCCCCTGCTATCAAGGGAGCAAGTTAACTTAGCTGAATGGGCAATGAAATGGCAAAAGAAAGGGTTGATTGAGCAGATCATTGATCCCCATCTGGTGGTTGATATAAACCCTAACTCTCTTAGGAAATTCGCAGAGACGACAGAGAAATGTTTGGCTGAGTATGGTGTTGATAGGCCCACAATGGGTGATGTGCTGTGGAACTTGGAATATGCACTACAGCTTCAGCAGACTGCTGTAAACAGAGAACCACACGAGGACAGCATCACTCATGCATCTGATCTCCCATTACCTAGAATTGTTCCACGTATTCCTTCTAGTAATGTAAGAATTGAAGAAGACAGTTATGGGAATTCGGAGGTAATTACGAGCCAAGTTTTTTCACAGTTGATAACCAATGAAGGCAGATAGTTATGAAGGATAGCCACTAGGCAATCATCAAGAATGACAGTGAACAGATGATCAAGTTTTGAAAATCATATTAAGAAACACTGTTACCCATTCCAATGTGATGTTTCAGGAGCAGACGTGCCCATACATCATTTTGGAGTCCCAGTTAGTTGTTTCTTCATCTTCCTTTCCTGCATTGGTGCTGAAGACGACAGTCCATGGTTATTGATTTATTGCCACTTTCAATTTACATCTTGTCATTCCAGTTCTTAGAATTAAGTAATTCTTTTCTTTCTAACTTCATGTATCCAAGAAACAAACTGGGCCCCAATTGAATGTATAACTGTGTATACTCTTTTGGCTGTATAAAAGAGGAATGAAAGACTTGTGGAAATGAGATTGCTATCATACACAACCTCGGTTACAGAATGTATTTATATATTATACAGGTAAGCCTAATTTAACGTGCTTATAACGTTGTGCCAACCTGATCCGAAAGAGTTCTTTCCTAAGAAGAATAATAGAGACCAACTAAGACCGATCAACAGAACCTACATGACAAAGAAAAGACAAACAACTTGATATTTGTCCGATCTGAGGTGTTACAAACCATACAGAATCAGATAATCCTATTAATTGGATGAAGCCAAGGTGGAAGGATGAAACCGCACACTAAGATCTACAAGCAAGAGAAAGGTTAAAGGACCGAGGAGTTAATCCCCAGGTAGGTATTCTAACGCTCAAGTCAATTGGGCAGAAGAAGATGTGGCCAAACCGAAGAGGTTATAACAGTGCTGGTTCGGGCCGAAGAGACTAGGCATAGAGGTATTCAAAGAGTATTGCTCAAAAAGTCCCTTACCTCGAGCAGGGAATACCTATTTATAGCTGGGCGTCCGTATTCCAGATGGATAAGGATTTTGGGGTTGTTGGGATGAGGTCATCCATCGAGGTCTTTAGGAGGTTTTCTCTTCCCCAACGGAGTCTGCTTCCTTGTTCGTGCAGGACAATCCTTAGTCGTGCTCTTCCACCATGCATGACATTGATGTGGCTTGAGAGAGAGGACAGCCATGGAGGATGTCATATGGCATCCTCGGCCAGCTCAACCATAACCCGAACACCACTCCCCCAATTCTGAAGTCGAGGAGTGCAGTGCTCGGTCATGGTTAGGTATGGAATACTTCTATGATCCTCGACTGAGGAACTCTAATTTCTTTGAGTTGGCTGCCTAGGGTAAGGCCGGTTTGCGAGGTGGGCTGGCGGGTTCAACTCTCATGCCATTTCCGAGATAGGTCAGCAAACACGTTGCTTCGTCTTTCCGAGGTTACACGTGTGCGAAGTGCGGCACCAAATCAGGATCATTAATCTGGTTTGATCTGAACCTTTAGCTGCCTTTATAAAAGGAGGGAGGCGAGAGCCATTTCACTTTGTCATTTGATAGGAGTTTGTGCCTATCAAATGTTCCAAACTCTTTTTCTTCTTCGATAAGATGTCTTCCTTCCACTTCGTCTTCCTTGTCTTCTCTTTTCACTGGGTATACTTCGAGGGATGAGGGCGAGGATAGTCCTCAATGTGAGGCCATCAAGGTTAGGCTGCTAGAGACCGATGCCAATGTGGCCGAGGTTGGTGATGAAGGTAAGGCCGAGGTCGGAGGGGTTGGTGTTGAGGTCGATGTGGAGCCTGAAGAGCAGTTTGCCTCGGCTTCGTGTAGCCTTTCTCTGGCCAACCTAGCTCGAATCAGGGAAGTGTATCACATTCCCAAGACTACAAAATGAGGTGTCCTGAGGTCAGGTAGAGGGCCACTTTGGCCCGTTCTGGGGAGATCTGTGTGCACATCCATAGTATGATAGCCGGTCTTAGGTTCCCTTTAGATCTCGGAGTAATGGTCGTCCTGAGGTGGTACTGGGTCCTATCCATCCAGTTGATACCGAACCCATTTCAGTACTTGGTCAAACTGCTTTGCTACTGCACTCTCAAGGACATCGAGATCACCCTACCAATGTTTAGGTATTTTTTCCACTTGAAGAAGCACAAGCAAGGGTACTACTACTTTTCGGCCAGGCCAAACACCAAGGTGCTCATCAGGGCTCCCTCTTCCATTAAACATTGGAAAGAGGGTTTTTTCTATGTAAAGCGTCGAGGAGGTTGGTCGTTCTCCCTTGCCCTGTCCATCTTGAGGACTAAGAATAAGGGCCCTTCCCAGGCCGAGCTGTTGGAGGAGAAGATAGTCGTTGTGAGGAGGATAGTGCAGGTGCACATCGGGGATTACACATCATCCCAATTGCTGACCATGGTTGGGCTGATATGCACTCCGGTCGATCAATCCCAGTCCAGTTCATGGGTTGTGTGGTCCCCCTTTTTTGTTTCATTTTATTTGTTGTATACAACTTTTCTAACCATGTTGAATTGTGCAGACTCAAAAATGGTTGGTGCTAAGGAAAAAGCTCATCGTATGAAGGTCGTGGCTACGAGGAAAGCACGAGCGGCTAGGACTTCGGTTGTGCAACCCAGGGTAGTGGAGATTCAACGGTGCTTAGCGGAGTGCACACCTCGACAGGGGAAGAGGCTGAGGTCGACGGAGGAGGTCGTGGTGGTTGACTCTGAGGAGGCCACAACTCAGCTTGGGCGATCCTCGCCACAAAGGAGGGAGGCTCCAGAGCACGCCACGACTAAGGGTTCGACCGGTGTGTATGTGTTGTAGTGGACTGTTCGGTCGGAGGACACCCTTGAGAAAGAAGGGGTGTCCGAGCAACTCGCTCGGGGTGTGATGCTCCCTGGTATAGGTAGGATGCCAACAGCCACACCAATAATTTCTTGGAGAGCGCAACCCTTCACCAAGCCAAGTCGGTGAGTTTGGCTTTACTTGTTGTTCCTTGCTTTTCTTTTCTTGTGCTGACTAACCAATGTTTTGCAGTCGGTTTGCTCTATCGTCTGCCTCGTCAACCACCTCCGCGGGTTGCGACGATTTTACGAGTTATGGGATATTGCTTAATTGAAAGCGGAGTTGGTTGAGTTGAGGCGCAGTGTTGAAGAGAGGGACGATATTGTCCAAAAATTGAAGGGGCGCATCCACAACCTAGAGGAGGAATGGGGCACGTTGAGGAAAGAGCTCGAGGAGACCAAGAAGAGGATCACTCAAGTGAAGGAAGAGGGCATCTCTAAGTACAAGGCTTCGAAGGCCCATCAGAACGAGTTGGACGACTATGCCACCGACTCTTGGCAGGAGGGATTTGTTCTTTGTCAGCAGAGGGTTGTGCGTCATTTCTCGGAGGTGGTCGAAGTTGTTCAAGGGTTTGACCCATTTGATGTCAAGGAGCTTGACGATGGAGATGCCGTTGTTGCCAACATTGAGGAGCAAACCGAGGACCCTCCAGTGGACAACTGATGTGCTCTCTCTCTCTCCCTCTTTTGTATACAGCTTGTATGCCAAGATTATAATTAGTGTAACTTTTTTGCATTAATGGAAATTTGTCCTTTCCTTTGAGCACTTTGCGTTATATATTTTTTTCTTTTTTTTCTAAGTTGTTGCGCTTCAGAATTGGGTTGGTTGGAGGGGACCATAGCTCGTGCTTTTGTACTTGTTAAAGCCTTGATCTTATGTTGGCTAAGGAGTTTTGGATTCTTCATTGTGGCTTCGGTCTTATACTGGTTGAGGTCTCTAGCATGGTGGCCTCGATCTAGCGCTAGTCAAGGTCTCCAACTTGACTACCTTGGTTTTGTGCTGGCTGGGGTCTTCGGTCTTCGCTGGCCGAAGCCCCTATCTTGGTCATCTCAATCTTACACTAGCCGAGGTCATCAACTTAGAGGCCTTCATTGTTGTTGTGAGGATTATTTAATTGTTATTTTACAATTGTTGTTAGTGTGCTATCAGCCAATTAGTTTATTTCTTTCTTATTAGTTTGTTACTAGAGAGTTCCACTAGGGGCATACTTATAATTTCTCATTCCTTTATATTAAATTAATATAAATAAACAAATTGGCCGCCAACAATAGTTTGAGACCCTCAATCGTATTTTTCTATTCTCCTCTCTCTCTCCATGAATGATTACATGGTATTAGAGTGTCATTCTGGGCTATAAAAAAAATATTTCTCTTATCTAAACCAAGCATCATTCCGGGCTATTTTCAATTCCTTTTTTTCTTTGATTTCTTGGACGTGGAAGACAGAGAAACCGAACTAGACTGGTCAGGCTACTTGCGGTTGCTTCCTTTGGGATCTTCCTTGGTTGTAACACTAAGGAAGCCCTAGCAGAAGAAGGGCAAGGTTGTAAAGACCCCCTTCTCTTTGTTTGGTGCTGTGAAAATTAATTTCTGGGTTTGCACCTTCGTACATGTGCTAGACAGGGTATCTGTTCTTGTGTTTTTTCTGTGGTCAATGGCGTGAAGGCTTTATTTTTTGGTTTTACACCTTCGTTTAGATGTTGGACTGTTAGTAAACATGTATTGTAGTCGAACTACTAGTATAGTATTCTAACAAGTGGTTGCTGGACTGATTACTGGGCAGTTTTAATGGCCAAACCATTACTAGGTTGATTTCAGCAATTTTTTTCTCATTCTATAAGTAAACTTCATGGGGGTTTAGTATTCTGATTGTGGTTGTTGTGTAGTTGTGTGGGATCTCGTCTGCTACACTTGTGATTCTAGCTCTTTTAGTTTAGACTCTCTCCCTCAATGGCAAACTATGTTTCCCACGCTTATTACCCCTTTAAATGGTCTAAACTACYTGGAGTGGGCTAAAAGTGTAAACCTTTATGTAACAACAAGGGGAAAAGCTGGTTACATAAATGGAAAAGTGAAAGAACCCAAGAGTGAGATAGCTGAACATGATAAGTGGGACCAAGAAAACAATATGGTGATGTCTTGGCTCTTTGTAGCCATTAAACCTAATGTGAAGAAGAACTTTACGTGGGTAGACACTGCTAGTGAGATTTGGGAACAGCCAAGACCACCTATTCTGAGCAAAGGCATTATGCCAAGATTTACTACTCGTAAGTTGAACCCTCAACCTGTAAACGGGGGAATCGTAGTTTGTTTGCCCATTATTCAGCCCTTACTTTAGTGTTAAAAGAATTGGATCACTATCAAGGTATAGAATGTAAACATGATGCTGATGCTAAGGCCTATGAGAAGCTGGTTTCTCAGCAGCGGGTTTTTGCATTCTTGTTGGGTCAAAACCCTGCTTATGAACCCTTGAGAGTTCAAATCTTAGGAAATAAAGAATTGCCTTCAGTTCAAGAGGTGTATGCCCTCATTCAATCTGAGGAAAGTAGATAGAGTGTGATGGTTACAACTGAGGGGAAGCAACAAGTAGAATTGGCTGCAATAGGTAGTAACAATATGGGAAAGAAAAGTGACTCCAAAAAGGCTAATGATAAGGACAAGCTGTTTTGAACCCACTGTCGGCGCTCGAGACATACACGTGACACATGTTGG